TTAGCCTGAATCTGACCAAATGAGTGGCCTCGGGCTATTCAGGGGTTGTTGGTCTGTCACCATCAGCTACCAACTTCCTGATTCCTCTTGTGTGGTAGTGAAACCTCTCAGCTGTCAGTGGTTTCTCTGCAGTTGTTCATATTTTAGAGTCTCCAGGGGACCTTGGTGTTTGCTTTAGCTTCATATTTTTTTCCTAAAGGTATTTGGTTTTCCTGTATCTGATTGGTCTTCTTTATTAGACAACCTAAAGACACAACATCTATAACAGCTTCTTGCCATCTTCCAAGATTTCTCATCATAAACATAACATTCCAAGAAATCAGAAATTTCTGGTTGTTATAAAGCACTTTCTGGTTGAAAGGTTGACTTCTCCTACCCTGGAGGGAGACAAATACTACCCCCATGATCCATAGACTCAGGAAACCACTAGCTCTGAGAACTCACTTTCAAAATCACAACATAACAGATCAAAGCAGGACTCCAAGGCAGCAACCCTTCCTCATTTTTTTTTATTTTGAAAAATATCAAAGCTACAGAAAATCTACAAGAATAGAAATGAAGATCCATAAACCCTTCACCAAAAGCACTAGTTTTCAATAATTTCATATGTTTACTTTCTATATTTACATTCACACTGTCTTTTCTGGCCTGAACCATATCAAAGAAAGTGTAAGCATAATTATCTCTCTGTGTGTCTTTAGTAGTTCTGAATGTCATTCCTAGGAAGCAGTTTGTTCTGCTGTGGTTTCATTATCACTTTCAATAAACCTAACACTGATACAACAGCATTACCTAATATGAGTACACATCCACTTTCCCCATTGTCTTAGAACTGGGTTTTGAGTAAAGATTACACAAAGCCTTTGACTGCTGTATTTCCTCAACCTCCTCTCACTACAGTACTTTCCCATTTCTTTTACAAAAGTCAGGAATTGTAGTAAAACTTGCATTTAAAATTGTTGGAAATTTTGAACAGGAACAGGTATGGTGGCACAGGGCTATAATACCAATAACTCGGGTAGCTGAGGCAGGAGAATCACAAGTTCAAGGAGACCCTGTCTCAAAATTGTTAAAGAGAAGTTTTTTTCAAAGGCTAAGGATATAGCACAATGAAGCATCTTTTACCAAACACACACAAGACCCTACAATCAATCCCCAGTAGCCCACCCCCAAAACAAATAAACAACAGTAACAAAGCGGGAAGCCCAGCCTTTACACACAGAGCTGATCATGCTCCATAGCTAATATGCCTCTTCCATCTGCCTGCAGTCCACACTAAAGCCAGTATCCCAGCTGTGTAATGTCTATATTTATTGCTGTAAACTCACAGAGCTGCGTCTAATTTCAACAGCCATAGCTAATGTGAGCTCATGCCTGAAAAAGAAACTGAGTCCAGTTCCATGTTTCTAAGGAACCCACAAGGGTTCCTTCTACCAGCTACCAAAGGCAACAAATAAGTCCTGCCACTGAACTTAATAGCTGTCTCCAAAAACAGACTGAATGATATCTGGGAAACCTCTTGGAACTGCCTTGCTCTGTGATTGCTGTGTAAACAGTCTGAGCTGCTACTGACTGGTATCATCAATAAGCAGATTGCTACATCTAACTGACCAGGTAATAAGTCAGCCAACATTTGCAAACCCCTTAGAAACCATAATTCTAGTGCTGATTTAATTCTATTTTACAAGATTGAAGCAGTTTTCCCAGATGATAAATCCCAACTAGCCTCGCCCTGCTGTAAACAAAGGCAGCATACTAACAAATAGGTCTGCAAAACACATAAACTCAGGAAACCTGAAAAAATGCAAGGAACCAAAGTTTCCACCAAGAGGCCTCTCTACTCCTCAGGGACAACTTGACACCAGTAGTCAACAGCAGAGATCCACTCCAGTGACTTACTCTGAGTCTCACGTGCAAATCCCAAGAAGAAGACAATGCCTGGACATGTCCCAGGGGTCACCATCTGGGCAAGCATTGTAGCAATAGGTATTTAACAGGAGTTTTGGGAGGGGGGTAACGTTCTGTCTGCCAAGTTCCCTCCTGGGGCGGGGAAAGTCAGGCTACAGATAACCCTCTGTCTAAGACTGAAAAAAACTCAGTAAGGTGAACAGGTTACAAAAAGTAAAGAAAATAGGTCAGATTTGATTTAGGGAGTGGTTCGAGGAATCAAGCCCATGGCTCTGTGCCCTCTGCACCAGCACTCTGCACTGAGCTATACCCCCAGCCCAAAACTGGTTCTCCCCTTTCCCACTGCAGTGGTGTGAATAGGTGTGGCCCCCATAGACTCACGTGTGTGAATTCTTGGTCCAATAGGGAGTGGCACTATTAGGAGGCGTGGCCTTGTTGGAAGAAGTGTGTCACTGTGGGGGTGGGCTTTGAGGTCTCAGAAGCTCAAGCTAGGCCTAGTGTCACTATCACTTCCACTGCCTGTGGATCAAGACATAGAACTCTCAGCTCCTTCTCCAGCACCACGTCCATCTGCATGCTGCCTTGCTTCTGGACATGATGAGATCTGAGTAACCCTCTCACACTGTAAGCCAGGCCCAGTTAAAATGTTTTCCTTATAAGAGTTGCCACAGTCATGGTGTCTCTTCACAGAAATAGAGACCCTGACTATAACACCCACTTCCCCCATCTGATATCTGATGTTTGCCCATGTTGATACGTTAAATTCACCAGAGTTTCCCCATTTCTAGCACATCCAACACTTGTTTTCCTAGCCTCATGAATAATATAAAGATGAACGTTCTTGCGGAACTTCAGGGATGGCATTTCAACACTATGGGGGAGGGAGAGCAAACTTCAGGAAGGGAGTGATGGACTCTACTCACCGCCAAAGAACTTAGTGTGAGGGGACGGAGCACAGGGCCCTGGTGGGAGCAGAGCGCCCTAACAGCATGAGGCAGCCTGCAGAGCGATCATCACTACTACATGTGGACCTATCAAGAAGACAACTGTCTGCAGGCCAAGAGGAGGACCCTCCTTAGGCACCAAATCTACTGGAACCTTGATGCGAACTTCCCAGCCTCCAGACTGTGAGGAATGTCTGTTGTTCAAGTGCTGTCCATGGTATTTTTTGTTAAGGTGGCCTGAGCTGAGACAGAGTTACCAGGCAAATTTTGCATAGCAACCATTACAACAAAACCACACGGCAGCTCATTTCTGTGTCCTTTGCAGATGGACTTGTGGTTGCCAATAATTCCTTAAAGATGTCTTTTGGGAGACAATCTTCACAAAAAAAAAAAAAACTAAGTAGAAACATAACCTGGAACCCTACAATGAGAGGAGGGGCAGGAGAAAGAGACCTTCAACACGTGTCACCCACACATACACCCTTGGTCCCTTCGCAGCCTAGACCCCTGGGGTGTGGGGCTGAAGCAGCCAAGGCCTTTGTTCCTATTCCAAAGCAAAGAGACAGAAGATGAGTGACAAACAGGGTAAGGAGGGAGAGAAGGAGAATGGGGACTGTCTTTGCCTAAGTGGATGGAATGGCCTTGCAGAAGATGTTTGGCCTGAGATCTGCATGATCCAATGCAAGCCATGCAAAGGTGAGTAGCAGAGCCACTGTGTAAGCCAGTGCAGCTGCAGGGCCTGCAGGAGCAAGCTGAGTGGGTAGTCATGGACCAAGCATAGGTAACTGGAGAGTGCTCACAGAGGGCAAGGTGTGTGGGTAATTTCTCACGCCAGAAGAAGAAAACCCTCAACTCAGCTTCTACTTTGCTCTCATTCAACACAAGAGCATTACTAATATTCAGGGATGCTGGAAGACATTGACCTCAAAACAGAGTACCAGGGCTGAGGAGATGGCTCGGTGGGTGAGATTCTTGCAATGTAAGCATAAGGAGCTGAGTTCCAATCCAGCACCCACAGTAAGCCTGAGATTCTAGCACTGAAGGGCAAAGATAGGTGGATTCCGGGGGCTTGCTGAGTAGGTTCAAGTTCAGTGAGACTCTTTCTCAGGAAAACAAGGCAGAGAATGATTAAAAAAAAAAAAAAAAAGACACCTGGACACCTAAAGTCCAGCTTTGGTTTCTACATGTCTGTGCATGAAACACACATGTGCACACACAAGCACATATACAACATACACAGGAGGATGAAAAGCTCATTTCCAGAAAAACTCAGACAGAGAGAGATCGAGATTGAGGCTCTGGGCCAATGTACCTGCTATTACACTTGAGCTTCACCTATAAGGCTCTTCCAAATAAAGCAAGGGTTCCAGTCTCTCATTTCTGTAACAGACACTATGAACTCCTACAGTTTACAGCCCTAGAAATGGGATTGTAATCACTCATGAGTTAGGAGACAGTTCAAGCAGTCATCCAAGTTCTGGGGATAGAGCACACCGTCTCCAGTAACAGTCATGTTGTGGACTGAATAGCTGTGCCTCCTTTCCAAATGCCCATGTTAAATTCCTGGTAGCCAAACCAACTGTACGAAAGACATACTATGAATAGGTGGAAGTAGGTAACAGTATCTTGAGGCCAAGGCCCTAATTAGGGAAGCACCATTTTTACAAAAAGGGAAGGAACGTGAGAGAGAGAAAGACTCAACTATGTGTGGCCACAGCCACAAAATGACCATCTGTGAGCCACGAAAAGGACCCAAAACCCTGACCTCAGGCCTCATGTCCATAACGAGAAAGTGTCTGGTGTTCAGTCCTGTCATCCAGGATCTTTGCAACAGTAGCCTGAGCTGTCTCATTATGTCCCACCAGGCCTCCAATATCTGGATCCAGACTTCCTAACTTGAGGTAAGGAACCTGTGGCCCACCATCCCTAGTCAACCTGTCCTCTTGTGATGAATTCCCACTGCCCCAGACTCCTCCATAAACCAGCAGGCTCTGAGGGAGCACTTTATCATAACTGATGAGGCAGCTGTGGTTACAATGGAATCTATGGTGACTCTTACATTGCACACATTAAGGATGACCTCCCCACAAATGACAACAAAGCAGTCAAGAGGGGGGATTAAGAAACTGTCTAGTTGAGAGCTGAAGCATGGTGGTCACTGGACTGCAGGCTGCTTTAGAGCAGAGACTCAGCGCCCTCGACATCCACACAGAGGTCTTGGAGCACCCGGAGTTGTTTACAATTGAAGAAATGATGCCTCATATTCAACATTTGAAAGGAGCACATAGTAAGAACTTATTTCTTAAAGACAAAAAGGAGAAACACTACTGGCTTGTGACAGTTCTTCATGATAGACAAATTAATTTAAATGATCTTGGCAAGCAGTTAGGAGTTGGGAGTGGAAATCTTCGATTTGCTGATGAAACAGCCATGCAAGAAAAATTAAAAGTTGGTCCAGGCTGTGCCACACCTCTGGCACTGTTCTGTGATGATGGGGATGTTACATTTGTTTTGGATTCAGCTTTTCTGGAAGGTGGACATGAAAAAGTATACTTTCATCCAATGACTAATGCTGCAACCATGGGCTTGAGTCCTGAAGACTTTCTCGTATTTGTGAAGGCTACAGGGCATGATCCCATAATTCTAAACTTTGATTAAAAACTGACTGGGAGCTGTGCATGGTCTAACACTCTAGGCAGAGAAGGCTGATCTCTGAGTTCTATGCCAACCAAGGACTTAAATATTCAGATGCTGTGTCAAACAACAAAAGCCAATTGGACTAATGCTCATAATAAACTCATTTCTACAAAGAAAAAAAGAAAGAAAGAAAGAAAGAAAGAAAGAAAGAAAGAAAATAGTAACTCACTGCTAACAAAGTAGCCAAAAGCCCAAGCAGCTGGAGCTGATGGCTGGCAAGTAAGTGACAAAGTACAACAGGACAGGATGCAATATGAACACTGACATTAGGACAGGCTCACCATCACTCAGGTCCTGGAGGAGGTTCTCCTGGCAAGAGAAGTCTAGCTTTGCCTTGATGTTGACGGTGAAAGTTGCCACCTTCCCAGGTTGAAGAGGGAACTGGGACAGTGTTTCTTCTAGCTTCCAGCTCAAGAAGTCCCCAGACAACTTTTCTGCAATGAGAACACAGGGGTGAGAAGGATATACTTCAGTCAGCGTGACACTTACTTATTCCCCAGGAGAAACAATAGCAAATGAAAAGCTGTTACAGTGTGGTGAGTCAAAGAGTCAATACCTTCCAGAATCACAAGACCATGAGGCACTGCAAAGCAACTGTCCACTTAGAGACAAGGCAGAGGAAAGGGAGAGTGGGTCATCCTTGGAGACCCCAAGCTCCAATCTCAGGCAGCTTCACTCCTAGTGAGCAGCTCCACCACTGAGTGAATTCTTCCTTTCCTCGTACAAGCTGTTGAGAGTTCAGGCAAATTCCTGAGCAGTGAGTAGCTTCTAGGGAGCTTCACTCTAAACGGGAACAGGCAAGAATGTAATGGGGAAAGATGTTGCCTAGGAAGGCAGCTCTGCAAAAAGAGAGCAGAGAACTGGGGACAGAGGGCTATGCACAGGGGGTGGGCACATGGAGGGCAGGCTCTCCCTGCCCTTACCAGCAACTGCCCTGCCTAATGGCCCTGGGCTGTGGAGAGAAACAGTCTTGGGTTTGCCACCTTTTTGACACTAACTTGAGTGCCACAGAGACAGATGATTCCTTCAAGCCAAGGAAGATACCATAAAATGGAAGATACCCACTGCACCATAGAGCTGTTTCACAGATTAAATGAAGTAACCTGCAACTCACAAAGAAACTGTGGACTAGAACACTGAAGCAAAGGGATCTGAGAGAGGGAGAAGCATGGATGGGGGAGACAGCCAGACTACCTTCTAGAATAGCTACCTTCCCCTCAGGCCATTCCTGCCAGGTGACCTCCTCACCTTTCTTCACAATTAGCCCCAGACTGAGACCAACAATCAGGATCCACACTATAGCTGCCTCATGCCTATTGTCCAGGGCAGGCCTCACACAGCATCACAGGGGTACTCTCCTTACTGTTCCCTAAGATGAGATCCTAGCCAGGCAGTTTACTGTTCATGAGGTCACACACAGTCTCAGCTTTATCCTGGGCAGCGAGTCCCAACTCCCCAACCAGCCTCAGAAAACCTGAAAGAGGTCCACAGGAGCAGAGAACTTCAGGCCTGCACAGTCCTGATGATTATTTACTCAGATTGTGACTTCACATGGTCTATATGTGATCGGCACACTATTGCCTTTTATACCTGTCCACCATCAAATGTTGGTGTCTACCCAATGCCAAACCTAGGGGTGAGAATCCCTCCACCAACAAGGAGAGGGGGAACCATTAAAATGGGTCCCCTGTGTCACCCAGGAGGCCCTGCATGCTCTCATATCTGGCTTCCTGACTTTGCTCATACCCTCCTCCCAAGATCCCTCAGTTACAGAGGTGGCTGTAACTAGCTGCTGTCCCTATTCTATCCTTTCTGGAAACCAATTCTCCAGGATGAATTAACTGTCTGAAGAAGAAAACTGAGGTTTATTGAGATAAGGGAGCTTATCCATGGTCACAAAGAAAGGAAAGACCTAGAATTCTAGGTCAAAACAACTCCAAAGCCACCGCATGGATTCATCTTCCTGCATGGTGTTAGAGACCCATAAATCAACTTCCAGGAACTTAGGAGAAGACGAACAGCTAGGCCAAGGTCCAGTGAAATAAAAACAATCAGTGGATTTCACCAACTGCAAGAACTCAAGGTTGAACTGCACTGTGAAATCAAAACATGTCAATCAGAGTCTCCCTGGCCAGAAGCAGCTCAACCATGGAATCAAGAGAACTAGCCACATGCAAAGAAGAGCCCATCTAAGCCATCATGGTTATTTCACCCTGTTCCCTTGAAGATGGATGCTAACAGGAACAAAGACAGAAGATGGGAGTTCCTAAAGGGGAGAGTTAGGAATCACATCACATTCACTTACTTGCTTGTTCTGAATACCTCACACACTTTCACATGCTCTCTTCCTAATAAACTTTGAGATGCTTGCTAGTGCCTATTGGAAACTAAGGTGGACAATGTAAGGGAAGTCATGGGCTATGAGGGCTCTGGCCAGTGACATGTGCTCAGCCAGTATCTGTTGACCTTCAGTATCCCACTAGGAAGGTCTCCAGGTATCACCTCATGATGTCAGCACCATCTGGAAAAGAAAGATGGCTAGAGAAGTAATGATTGGATGGTTGAGAGGGTAAATATCTGGAAAGCCAGGTATAGACAGCAAAGGCTTCACTGCAAAGACCTGCATGGTCTCAGGAAGCCATGGCTATCAAAGAGAATTTAGGGACAGAATTAGAAAGTCACAATTAGAAGCAGTAACCAAGTCCCAGTAAAGCAAAAGAAAGAACAGGTTATCAAAAGAAAGTGCATCAGGTCAGGAGAGCCATAGAATCTCACAATGCAAACCAAAAGGCTCAGCCATAGATCTGCAGGGAAACAATAAGACCACCAAACACTGGGCCTATGGAATTCTCAGCAAGGGACAGAACCTGTGTCCAGAAACTTCCTTTGACACTCAACACAAGCCCCCCAGCTATCAGGGTAAGCAAGAGTACCCCTGGGTACACCCTGTCCTTTAGAAGGTAAGTCACACCATCGAAGTCAGCACAGAGACTTGGCTCCACATTGGGACCGATTTCAGAGCTATGGGCAGGAGAGGAACTGGAGAAAGAAAGGACAGAGTCTGACCTAAGGTCAGGCAGTCAGCTTTACACATCCTCCTTCCAACCACTCAAGGGTACTGAAGACCCTGGGCTTGGGCAACCAGGGTGCCTGGCAGCCTTCCTTCTATTCCCTGGGGATGTCTCTGCTCACTCTTAGGCAGCCCTCCCAGGTCGCCTTGCCCACTGTTCCACATATACTTGCCCTGCGCTTCCTCAGGACCTCTGGTCAGCTGAGGGTCCTAAGCACTGGAGCCTGTTCACCAAAACTCAAGGCCTCTTTCACCCTACTATGGGAGCTCCCCTACCAAACTCAGCAAATATCACTTTCACTGGATATCAGCTTCCTTTTCTTACTCTTAATGAAGAAGGTTAGCACCTAGTAGGTGGCCTTTGGAAAGGCCAGAGGAGTGGGGGGGGGGAGTCAGTGGGATGCTTAGCACCCATGAGCTTTAGGAATGCATTTGGTTTGGGAGGACAGCTGTTGTTCTGCACCCAACTCCAGAATGGAAGAAAGGTCTTTCCTCCCAAGCCAGGCACAGTGCTCTGATCCTCTCAATGACCCAGGAACTCCAGTCTATGGAGAGATGAGGAACTTCCACTCAGAACAGCATATAGGATAAGAGATGACAAGCTACAGAAAACCAAGCAGCCCTGCTCCATAGGGGCCAAGTCCTGAGCCTAAGAACACAGGAAATGAGGACATGGTGATTTCCTTACCCAGCACCTACTACAGAGGCACTGGCCATAGTCAGCTAAGAAACAAAGGTCCTGCAAAAGCCTCCCATCCCAGAGACCCATATTCAGACCACCTCCGAAACACAGGCACACAGCCAGCCCCTTGGCTACGTCACCTCGTGGACATAACATGATGTTCTCTGACCCCAGAAATCACTCACTCACTCCTACCTCCATCGTACCTGTTACTCTCCACACATCCTGCTCCATCTGCTTTCTCACACTGGGAATTCCTGAACCTCCTTTCCTGTACTGTTCCCTCCTACATTGTCCTCTGAACTCTCACTCACACACTCCTGGAATATCGCCAGCTTCCAGTGATGTTCCCTTCCACAAAGCAGTCAATGGGCAGAGGCAGGGCCAGCCCTTTGACTCTTGCCACCTGGAGAGGAAACACTATGCTACCTGGAGACACTTGCTCAAACAACAACAACAAAAATGTCTAAATCCATGCCCTGGCTGGGGCTGGGTACCTAGGATAAGTCCCCAAGTTTCTGTCTGTCTCAGTTTACACATCTAGAACATAGGCTGTCATGCAGAATCAACTTGTTGGTAGAAGGCCAAATGCTTGGCCAGGCCCTGGCTTCAAGTAAACACTCAGCCAGAGTTAGTTCTCCAACTCACTGAACCCCAATCTGCTTTTCCTAATTGTAGAACCCTTGCACTCCTTCCCCAGAGATGTGCAAGAATGAGATGATCCATGCAGACTATCAAATACCATGCCTGGCATTCCATAAGCACACATTAGTATTAGCTGCCATCAATGCCTCTCAATATTCAATGACTAACAAGACCTGGTACCTAGTAGGCACTCAGGATGGGACATAGAACATACACATGTATGCAAAGACATCACGTTAGAATTATAATTACAACAAATGGTAAAAGGTATATATAGAAAAAGCAGAACCAACTAGAAGGTACAATGCAGCCCCAATCTCATAAAAATATTCACAGGAAGAAATAGGAGAGGAGGAAGAGGAGGAAGAAGAGGAGGAGGAAAGGTGGAGGTACTAGAGAAGTGGTTCAGCAGTTAAGAGCACTGGCTACTCTTCCAGAGGGCCTGGGTTCAATCCCCAGCACTTCCATAGCAACTTTCAACACCTGTAACTCCAGTTCCAGGGGATCTGAAGCCCACTCCTGGCTGCTGCAGGCACCAAACACATGTGTGGTACACATATATACATGCAAGCAAACACTCATATACATTCAAATAAATTAATTTAAAAGAAGAAGAAGAAGAGGAGGAGGAGAAGGAGGTGGAGGAGGAGGAGGAGGAAGACCAGGGAGCCTACATGAGACTCACCTAGGCACTCTGCATATATGTTACAGTTGTGTAGCTTGGTCCTCTTATGAGACTCCTAACAGCAGAAACAGGGGCAATCAATGTCCAACTCCTTTACTGGCTTCTGGGACCAAATTTTTCATACTGGGTCTCCTTGCCCAGTCTTAATACATAGGGAGGTGTTTAGTCTTACTGCAACTTGACATGCCATGCTTTATTGATACTCATAGGAGACCTGCTCTTTCCTGGATAGAGACAGAAAAGGAGGATCTGGGGGAGGGGGAAATGAGGGAGAAGGTCTAGGAGTGAAGGCTGCAGCCAGGATGTAACATAAATAGATGAATAAAAAAACAAATCATACCTCTCTGACTAA